CCCCTACACCCCTAAACCCCTAAACCCCTAAACGCCTAAACCCCTAAACCCCTAAACCCCTAAACCCAAATTGAACCGAAACCCTGAACCCCAACCCCGGAAAACGACCCCTCCCAACCACCCAACCCCAGCCTAAATTTACGCCCTAAACCCTACACCCTACACCCTAAACCCTAAACCCTAAACCCTAAACCCTAACCCTAAACGCTCAAGCCTGAAGTGCCTGAAGCCCCGCTTGCGCCTCCTGTCGGGCCTCAATCTGCGCCTCCTGAGGCGAGTGACACATATTACACGATACCACCATGTGCATGCATGCGTGGATACACATTTTTGCACAGATAGACACATAATTACATATATAGTATGTAGCATATATGTATATTATATGTATATATATATATGTTTATGTACATACAGATCTGCACATCTACATATTTGCTTGGCTTCAAAAATGCTAAACCCTGAGCCTCCGAAGAAGAAAGAGGGACAAACACATTGCGCGGCGTCCAGCACATGAACATCTCAAGTTTGCAGCAGGGTCGCGTGTTTAGGGCGCGGGTTTAGGATGAGAGAGAGTGAGAGAGACGCCCACCTTCTTCGATGACTCGGGTGTGGGCCACAGGACCTCCTGTCCTTATAAGCCCATTTTCTTGGGTCAAGGTTTCGGGTTTACGGTTTAGGGTTTGGGGTTAGCGTTTAGGGTTAACGCGCGCTAGGCAATATCCTACGTTCCGCAGTACCTCCCTGCTTTGTACCTCCCCAAAATGTCCCTCTTTGCGCATTGAGGGGTCCCTGCACAAGGCAGCCGCCGGACTAACAACCCCCCTCACAAATCCAAGGCCAGTTAAGCGTTCGCATGAACTACCCTGAGCCCTGAACGCAGTAATAAAGGGGCCGTAATTACTATAAATCGTACTATGAATCTACAGTATAACTATACAAGGACCATGAGGGAATAAAAACTGATACTTCTTCCACCTCAAACCCTAACCCCAAACCCCAAACCAAAAACCCCAAACCCTAAACCCTAAACCCCAAACCCTACATTACACTGTAGCAGCCCCCCCCCCCCCCCCCCCCATGCCTTCTCTTGGCGCATCCGGCCGACGAAGGTCTCGCGGAGCTGCTCTAGCTCCTCCTGGTTTAGGAGCTTGGTGTTTGTAGGGTTTGGGGTTTAGGTTCAGGGTTTATAGGGTTTATAGGGTTTGTGGGGTTTATAGGGTTTATAGGGTTTATAGGGTTTATAGGGTTTATAGGGTTTATAGGGTTTATAGGCTTTATAGGGTTTATAGGGTTTATAGGGTTCATAGGGTTTATAGGGTTTATAGGGTTTATAGGGTTTATAGGGTTTAGGGTTCAAGGCTTAGGGTTTGTAGCCTGCCACGCAAATAACTCAAAGCATGTCCCAACCTGCGCTGCAGAAAACTTGCAAAGACTCCTTACATCGAAGCAGTCAAAACACGGCCCCGGGGGGTGACATGGTTGCGTGCTTCAGGGCCCCTCTCCTCGCATCGCGGCTTTGGCACCAACTCAAGCCCTATAAGCTCAAACCCTTAACCCTAAACCCCTAAACCCCTAAACCCCTAAACCCCTAAACCCCTAAACTCCTAAACCCCTAAACCCCTAAACCCCTAAACCCCTAAACCCCTAAACCCCTAAACCCTAAACCCTAAATAACCCCTTAACCCAAAACCCTGAAACGAAGGGCTCCTCCGGAACTAAAGGTCCGAAACTCCCCTGGTTTTCAAGGATCGAGAGATTGTTTGAGCCCTCTGCGCGACGACGCGGGTGCTAGAACTGACGTCCCGAAACGAGGGCCCGATCCGCAAATCGAAGGTCCGCACTCCAGAAATTTCAAGACCTCAAGGCCCCGGAAAACGAAACTCCGGAAACGAAGCAAAAACCCCAAAACCGTAACGCCCACACCCCAAAACCCCTAAACCCTTGAACCCTGAACCCTAAACATTAAACCCTAAACCCTAAACCCTAAACCCTGAACCCTAACCCTAAACCCTGAACCTTGAACCTTGAGATCTTCCGGACCTGGTGCTTGTCTTTGAGAAGCTGGATCTCAGCCTGGGGCGTTTCGGTCTGCTGGAGGGGGGAGTTGGGTTGAGGGTTTTGGGCCCAAGACTAGTTCATGGTTGGGATAATACTAAACATGAATTTGCTATTCCTTATTAAGGGTTTAAGTACCCTTAAAAAATGCAACATGGTACCCAACTATGACAGAGTTCAGGGTTTGGTTTAGGGGTAGCTGGCTTTCATTGAACTGGGGATCAAGGACCTTGCGCTGCGAAGGATACTCTCCATCGAGGCATAAGGGCCATAAACCATTTCAGGGTCAATTTCGTGCACGCACCTAAACCCTAAACCCTAAACCCCAAATTCCCCATTATCCCTAAACTTCCAGGGGTATTGTGATTGAAGCCTTGCTCCAGAAACATCTGCCTTGCTTGAAACAACTCGGAGGAATCCCGGCCGGGGACGCATGTCCTTATGTGATGATGTCTACAAGCGCGTTCAAGTAGTCATGCTAATTATTGATTCTGATATGTTCTCCCATAGAATAACAATATAAGAGTCTACTACCCACTAGGGCTGGCGGATTACGGGCTTAGAGGGTTTTGGGCTTCTAGGGTGGGGGGGCGGCGCCTCCCTCTTGGCACAGAGCTCGGCACGGGCGGCACCTCCATATCAGTTTAGGGTCTAGGTTTTAGGGTTTAGGGTTTATAGGGTTTATGGCGAAGCCCTGTGACCCTACAGCGGGGGGGTGGGGGAACGGGGGGCGAGGGGTGGTGGCTTGTGGGGCTTTGGGGGCTCTGAGATTGGTAGGGTTTCTGAGGTTCTCAGCTCTTTGCTGCCTCATGTGGATTGCTGCTTGATGATGATGGTCCGCTCTGCAAGAAGATAGCATCAAGAGAAGTTACATGAAGGTTTTCATATGTTGGGGCGGGGGGGGGGGGGGGGGGGGGGGGCGAGCTAGGATTCGGGGATTCCGGGTGGTGAGGGCTTGGGAAGAACACGGAACAGCACAAAACCCTGCCTATCGGCCTCAACAGCCTAGCCCTTGAGACCTGTCCTAAGACGGGCCTTGCCAAGCTCGCAGGAGAACGGCCGTTGTCAGGGCCTCCTCCTCGCGCTTTCAGAAACCCGAGGCTCCCCTGAAGCCCTAACCCCTCGGCCTCAAAGTCTACACCCTTTAGGGTTTAGGGTTTAGGGTCTAGGGTTTAGGGTTTAGGGTTTAGGGTTTAGGGTTTAGGGTTTAGGCTTTAGGCTTTAGGGTTTAGGGTTTAGGGTCTAGGGCTGAGGGTTCAGCATCTCAAGTCCAAGCATACGCGAGTCAAGCAGCTTGTCAAGCGTTGGACAGACTACCCACACGCGCCAGAGAATCAGCAAACAAGAACACTGCTGATCGGAACCCCTCGATCCTGAACCCTCAGCCCTAGACCCTAAACCCTAAAAGCCTAAACCCTAAACCCTAAACCCTAAACCCTCTCTACCGACTACCGATTGACGGAAATTTGACAACACCCGGGGCCCGATGGTTCAACATCTGATGAACGCCAGGAGGGCCCAACTGCTCAGAATCCAAAAAAGCATGTAAACTCTTACCCCTAAACCCTAAACCCTAAATCCTAAACCCTAAACCCGAAACCCTAAATCCTAAACAAGCCGCCCTGAACCATGGACCTTCTGCAAACCGCAGGGAACCGCCACAGCAAACACTGCCGGTCCTATTACAAAAGCTTGGGCCATTACAACCTACAGCCCAACCCGCCCCAACCCGCCCCCCCCCCCCCCGCCCCCAGACCCTAAACCCCAAGCCCCAGACCCCTGAACCCCAAACCTTGAAACATCCCCAAATCCCCAAACCCCACCCTAAACCCTAAACCCTAAACCCTAAACCCTAAACCCTAAACCCTAAACCCCAAACCCTAAACCCCAAACCCTAAACCCTAAACCCCAAACAAGCACAAGCCGAAGAGGGATCCTGCTGCGAAGCCGCCACGAAGCGGTCCTCCGCATTTCTTTGCCGGGCTTATCGGGCTTAGGTGTAACGGTTTAGGGTTTAGGGTTTAGGGTTTAGGGTTTAGGGTTTAGGGTTTAGGGTTTAGGGCTTAGGGCTTGGGGTTTAGGGTTTAGGGTTTAGGGTTGACCGAAACCCTGAACCCTGAAGCCTAAATCTTGAATAGGTTTACTTGGGGGTTTAGGGCTTACGGCGTGGGATGCAGGGGGCTTCGTGGATCTCACACACCTTCGAGCTCGAAGTTGAAGATCGGACGAGCAACCTCCTGTTTCCGAGCTTCCTTGCCATGAATTGGGGGAAATCCAGCACCCTATGCACGGCGGTACCTTCTAGGACCCATGTCCAAACCCTAAACCCGGATATATATATATATATATATATATAATTATACATATATATATATATGAGCGACTGATATTATACATGCATATTAATATTAATATAGAAGAGAGAGAGAGAGAAAAAAAAAAAAAAAAAAAAGGGGGGGGGGGAGTATACGGCACCCAAATCCCAAAGTTCTGAAGAACAAATCGTAAGTTTGCGAAACCCGGGCCTTTTGCTTCCTCTTCTGGCGCCACGCGGCCTCAGTGCCGAAGCTAAGGGAAGGTAGGATTTAGGATATAGGGTTTAGGCTAGGGTGTAGGGTTTAGGGTTTCGGGTTTAGGGTTTAGGGGTTGAAGGCCTCAGAAACCAGCAGCTCAAAACTCTCTCAGGTCGGCTTGGCGGCAGCAGGGCGGAAGACCACGACCCCCTAACACCCCAAGCCATTAAACCTTTGAACAATAAACCCCAGAATCCCTAGAAGCCCTGGAACCCTAGAATCCAATCCCTAGAATCCCTAGAATCCCTAGAATCCCTAGAAGCTCTAGAAGCCCTAGAAGCCCTAGAACCCTAAACCTCTAATTCAAGCACGTCCCGAAGTTGGGAGCCAGGGGGCCGAGATTTCCAGCCAGGCCCGGAAGAGGAGAACCTGGTGCTTATGTTCAGGAGCCCTCAACGCGGTTTAGGGTTTAGGGTTTAGGGTTTAGGGTTTAGGGTTTAGGGTTTAGGGTTTAGGGTTTAGGGTTTAGGGTTTAGGGTTTAGGGTTTAGGGTTTCGGGTTTAGGGTTTAGGGTTTAGGGTTTAGGGTTTCTAAACCCTGAACCCTAAACTCCGCAGGTTTCAAGCTTGTGCTTGAAGGTGTCGGGTGCCGGGTTCAACGGGTATTTGGGGCGTTTAGGGCATTAGGTTTGCTCAAAACTTCGCCCTACTCCACGTTGTTTAGGGTTTAGGGTTTAGGGTTTAGGGTTTAGGGTTTGGGGCTCGGTGCCCATGATTACAGCCTACAAGCCCCCGGAAAGGAGATGTTCAAGTGCAAATGCTGAGTAGGGTTAGGTTTTCGGGTTGAGGGTGAACGCCCGGCATAAACCCTAAGCCCTAGAGGCCCTAGACCCCAAGCCCTGAACCCATCCTTCCCTCCAGCCGCACGTCTACGAGGCTTCGGGTCCACTGGTCATGTGCTCTTCGAGACCATGTTGGACTTTACGCTCACGACTCATAACCGTCATAACCCCCAAAAAACTCTTCTCACATCACGCTAGCATGTCGTGCCTGGCTGTTCTATTCCCGAGGTTCTGCAAGGGGCTTGGGAGGGGAGGGTTTGGGAGTTTGGCGTCTCATCAGCGGTCGAAAGCGGACCCGGCGAAACTGGAAGTGCCCCGCTTCCGCATCGTTGCCGCACCGCGTAGGGGTTTAGGGTTTAGGGCTTAGGGTTTAGGGTTACACCTTTTTTCGAGAACATTCATATCATCCCGCATGAGCACGGGTGCTTCAAACCGCACAGTAGTCACGCGTGTGCAGGTAGGGTGGCAGGATGCGTAGACTACACAAAAACACGCCTCAGCCTGCCTCATGCCCCGTCTCGTCGCATCTGTTGGGTAGGCGCTGTCCAGCATTCAGCGACCCGAAGAGCAAGCCAGAGCCAACGCCAAGCCAGGAAGGGCTTTGAACATTGAACAAAAAAAACATCTCCAAGTGTCCTGGAAGCCAATTTTAGGGGCAAAGTTCGCCCATTTGGCCGAAGGGCCTTACTCAAACATCTTCGGGCTGTTCTCATCAAGCTTGAGTTCAGACTTGGGCCCCAAAGTCGGGCCAGGGCTCGCAGTGAGAAGGGCTTGGGCGGTCCTGGGGCCGGCATGTCTGCATACTATTGCATTCAGCCAGCGTTCTGCCCCAAACCCAAAAACGCCAAAAGCCCTCCCCCAAAGCCCAAAAACCCTCAACCGTAATCCTACCCCAAACCCCAAGCCCCAAGCCCTAACCCCTAAATCCTAAACCCTAAACCCTAAACCCCATCCCCTCAAAGCCGCTGGGAGCGCCCCGCCTTGCGCGGCCGCCCGCCGCTTCGGAGCCAACGCATCTTGGCTAAGGCGCGGTCACGGCCTGCACTGGGAGAGGGGGGTTTAGGGTTTAGGGTTTGGGGTTTGGGGTTTGGGGCTTGGGGTGTGGGGTTTGGGGTTAGGATGGTTTTCAGGTCTAGGGTGTGCGGTTTTGGGGTATATAGGGCTAAAGTTTAGGTTTAGGGTTTAGGGTTTGGGGTTTTTCCGGTTTGGGTTTTAATGTTTAGAGTTTGGGGTTTGGGGTGTAGGGTTTAGGGTTTGGGGTTTCGGGTTTACTTGTTCATGGGTACAGAAAAGTAAGGAAGGCTAGAACTAGGGTAACTCTACTTATTAACCAGATTTATTGGGGTACCGATAACCTTACCTAGAACTGCCCATGAAAGTTTTGGCGATAGGGGTTTTACAGAATGTAGGTTTTCCAGGATTTTGGGTATAGGGTTTGAATTTTGATGGTTTAGGGCTTAGTGTTTAGGGTTTAGGGTTTAGGGTTTAGGGTGTAGGGTTTAGGGTTTAGGGACGAGTTGGGGTCGGCCCTGATCCCCCCCAACAGGACCCCCCGAAGAGGAACTCTTCACTCACGTAAATCCTAAACCTGCAACCTCAACCCTAACGATGGCTGCAGGGTTTTGGGAGGGTCTAGGGTTTAGGGGATAGGGTTTAGGGGATAGGGTTTAAGGGATAGGGTTTAGGGGATAGGGTTGAGGGGATAGGGTTTAGGGAGGGTTTAGGGCCGTTTAGGGTTTGCTGACGGCAAAGGGTTTGATAGGCCTGTGCATTGGCCATGGTAGGGTCTGATGGGGCTTCCAAACCCTGAACCAGGGAGTTTCGGGCGTAGGGTTTAGGAGCTAAGAACCCTAAGCCCCAAGCCCCAAGCCCCAAACCCCAAACCCCAAACCCTAAACCCTAAACCCCAAACCCCAAACCCCAAACCCTAAACCCTGAACCCTAAACCCCAAACCCTAAACCCTACACCAAGCCTACTCGCTCACTGACTACCAGGTGGTCCAGCTGCCTGCGGCAGAGGGTCTTCAGGCTTCCATTGGGCGCTTAGGGGGGTTTAGGGTTTAGGGTTTAGGGTTTAGGGTTTAGGGTTTTGGGTTTTGGGAAAAAGGGTTAAGGGTTAAGGGTTTAGGGTTTAGGGTTTAGGGTTTAGAGCTCTGCTTTCAGGTTCATGGATACTCGGGGACTGAGTGCAGGGCTTCCAGGTTTAGGGCTTCTGGGATTCTAGGGACTTCAGGGGTTTGAGGGGCTCAGCGTGTTCTGGGTCATAAGGCCTTCTGAATTCAACACCTTTAGGCGACTCTGGGTCTGGTATTTAGGGTTTAGGGTTTAGGGTTTAGGGTTTAGGGTTTAGGGCTTAGGGCTTAGGGTTTAGGGTTTAGGGTTTAGGGTTTAGGGTTTAGGGTGTAGGGTTTAGGGTTTAGGGTTTAGGGTTTCGGGCTTAGGCTTTTAAGGGGTTTAGGGTGTAAGACTTAGGAATTGGGAAGGCCGCGGTTTTTGGGTGCTTTGGGGATTTCATGGCGTATGAGGTCGAAACTGTTTGTGGGGAGTTAGGGTTTAGCTAGTAGGAGTCCTTGCTCTCTGGTTTTGCTGGTTTGGTTGCTGGGGTCTCTACTGTTAGGGTTTAGGGGCTTTCATTTGCTTGTGGGGTGTTGGGTCCAGCTGATAGGGTTGAGGCTGAAGGGTTCAGGGGGTAAGTAACCCTAAACCCTAAACCCTAAAGTGCGGATTGTCGCGTTTAGGGTGTTTGCTTCGTAGGGTCCTAGCGTGTAGGGATGAGGGCGTCTTGGGATCTTGGCTGTCTTGTGGTTCTCCTCGAGCTTTGAGCGTAGGACCGTTGCTTCTGGCGTTTAGGGTTTAAGGGTTTAGGGTTTCGGGGTTTGTTGCGCTGATAGTCCACCCCCCCCCCCCCGTGCATTGGAACCTTTAGCAAAGGAAACCTTCAGTATAAGAACGAAGAAGCGTATGTGGTCCTGGCACATTCTTGTGTTCTGTTATGTTTGGAGTGGCAACACGAGCAGAAACATGTAATACCCTAAGCCCTACACACCCTAAACCTTTATAGATGGTACCCTGACCTCATTCATGTATGGCTACGAAAAGCCCTAGACCCTCAAACTGGGTGCTTGCATTCGCTCAAGAACTGCTTGATGGCTTCAGGAAGCTCTTACACCCCCTCGGACTAAAGAAACACAATGTATAACATAATGTTATAAGACATTGCATACTATATCTTACATGCTACATATCATATACTATTTTCCGATATTCATTACAGTCCACTATTGAAAAAAAAACTATATACATATATGTATATATGTGTATATGTATATATATATATATATATACCAATTTCTACAATGGATTGCATGTCATACATAATTCATATGATCGCTCATCATTGATGGAAAGAGTGGGCCTCAGCTTCTGCCCTAGCATGGCGGCCTGCCACCGCCTCGGAAGCTCTTCGTGCTCGCAGAACGGATTGGAGTTTGTAAGGGTTAGGGTTCAGAAGGTTTAGAGGGTTTAGGGTTTAGGGTTTAGGGTTTAGGGTTTGGGGTTTAGGGTTTAGGGGTTTGGGGTTTAGGCTTTACATGTAAGGTTTAGGGTCTCGGGCTGAGGATGAAGTTTAGGGGTCTCGGGGCTCGGCCCTGAGATGCGCTGGCCCAGTAGGGGGTTAGGTCTTAGGGTTTAGGGTTTACAAGGTTTAGGGTTTAGGGTTTACAAGGTTTAGGGTTTAGGGTTTAGGGCTTAGGCTTAGGCTCTAGGGTTAGGGTTTAGGGTTTACGAGGTTTGCGGTTTACAAGGTTGAGGGTTTAGGGTTTAGGGCTTAGGCTTAGGCTCTAGGGTTTAGGTTTCAGGGTTAGGGCTGAGGGCGTAGGGTTTACGAATTAGGGAACCCTAGATCCAAAGTAAGCCCTCCAATCCTTGCACCTGAAAATTCCACTCTCTAGGGGTTTAGTTAGGGTTTAGGGTTTAGGGTTTAGGGTTTAGGGTTTAGGGTTTAGGGTTTAGGGTTTGGGGTTTGGGGTTTAGGGTTTAGGGTTTAGGGTTTAGGGTTTAGGGTTTAGAGTCTAGGGTTTATAGTTTAAGGTTTAGGGTTTCGGGTTTGGGGTTTGGGGTTTGAGGTTTAGGGTTTAGGGTGTAGGGTCTGGGGTTTAGGGTTTAGGGTTTAGGGTTTAGGGTTTAGGGTTTAGGGTTTAGGGTTTAGGGTTTAGGGTTTAGAATTCAGGGTTTAGGGTTTAGAGTTTAGGGTTTAGAGTTCAGGGTTTGGAGTTTAGGGTTTGGGGCTTAGGGGGTTTACGGAACTCTCACGGCCCCCCAAGCACCCAAACCCCCCAAACCCCACACCCTGACCCTAAACCCAACCCTGAAACCTCCAGGCCCAGGATAGGCGCCCGGCAGAAGGAAGCAACCTGCAAAAAGGAGACGCTGAACCCTAAAACCTAAACCCTAAACCCTAAAACCTACACCCTAAACCCTAAACCAAAAAACCCTCAGCCCTAAATCCTAAACCCTAAACCCTAAACCCTAAACCCTAAACCCTACGCGCCCCCCCCCCCCCTGTTTCTGGGGCTTGTGGTTCCGGTTG